CCAAATCTTGGCGAAATATTTGGGCAAAAGGGGGCTCTTTGGTGTCATTCCAAATCTTGCCAAGATTTTGAGGCAAGATTTGGACTCCATAGCAAGTGTACATTCGAGATATTTCTTGAATCGACCCTCCCCCCCCCACCAAAAATCAAGATTAAGATCAAGATTCCGCCGCCATAGACAGTGGTCTAAGGTGAAGAAACAAGGGTATACCACAATGAAACAAAACAACCTGCGGGTTAGGGTTAGCTTTGGGGTTCTACTGTCATCAGTAGAGGACACCATGAAGTGGGGCGTGGGTGCTGGCACGTTCACGTTTGCGAAGTACTGGAGCTGAAATATCGAAGGTGGAAGCAGCCTCCGAAAAAAGTCCGATATCTGCGGCAGAATCAAGCAGCATCCAACGTTCATGACAGCCGTGCTCATTGCCACCGACCGTAAACCCTGAACGAAGGGTTCTCAGCAGTAGCCATTACAACAGTGGCATCAGCTACTGCTGTAAACCCGCAGTTCAGGAGATTGGAGTCGGGGGTGGCGAGCACGGCTGCGAGAAGAGTTGGATGCCGCTTGATTTCGGCGCAGATTTCGAACTGTTTCAGAGGGTGCCGCGAACTTCGATATTGCAGCTTGTAGCAAACCTGAATGCGCCAGCACGCACGACGCCACTTTCATGGTGTCCTCTACTGATAGCAATAGAAACCCGAGCTATCCCTCAAAACTGACTTCATTTGAGCGCCTGCCGTTTTGGCTCCTTTGACTTGAATTTAGAATAATATGAATTTTTCCTGATGTCAAAGGAGGTGTGTGGAGGCGTGAAATGCATGTTTTGAGCAGCCTTTACTGTCCTGCGCTGTGCGAGAATCAACGATTTCTGTTTTTAGCGATGCCTTCCGACTGGTCTTGTGTGTCTCTTGTGCATTTTCTGGTGCTCCTGCGTTTGTTTTCGAAGTTAGTCAACATCAAAACTTCATCTCAGCAACGTATGTCTTTCGTTGTTTTCTTCACATTGAACACCGTTCCGTTCTCTTACCCAGTACTTCCAATGTACTCGCACTGCTGTTGTACTCCAAACCTTGACGCGGTCAATTCCCGTGGTCACAAGGCTATTTATCCTAATTTTAGAAAGTAAACATAACCTCACAGAAAGACTACCCGTTCGAGATAAAACCTCAGTCGAAAGGGATGTGGTGGAAGTCTTTTCAGTAAGTGGATTGAAACCAACTGGAGACTTGCTTAGACTATCCTTTTCTGTCGCAACACATCATGGTTGTACTGCTGTACTTGATGTTGCTGTGAGTCATACGTATGCAAATACGGCAAAAATTCTTCGATTTTGATTTTTCTGGGTGCACTTCGTGCTACAGAAACAGCAGTAGACACCGTACATCATAGTCCCTAGCTCTCAATGAGCTCTCTTTGTGTGCGGGCGCTACAGCGATGCATAGCACATGTGAATGATGCCCTCGTCAACAGCGTCCCTTCAAAACTTCAAAACCTATTCCTCCTTCTTCTACCCCCCACCCCCCACTGCTCGTTCTGCATCCGATGTTTGTGTTGTTGGATCAGAGTACCTGCGGTGCCGCAGGTAGCGTTCATGTTCCTCGGCAGGCTTTGCGACAGCAAGGCGGGGATAGAGCAGCTGTTCGGAACATCGGGTACAGAGAGCCGGACAAACAAAGTGCTGCTGATTCTACAGCAGTTACAGAGAGAAACTTGTTACAGCGGTCAGCGGCTATTGCAGGACCCTCACCTCTTGCTTGTGCATCTGGTAGACACCGTTCACCAGGCTGAGGGTGTACTTGATCTCCTTGTCCTCCTTCATGGGCAACCACTGCGGCACAACCATTCTTGGCCTTGTGGGAAGATCTCGGAAAGGCATCATCTTGGTCATCTTTGCGTGCGTGCTCGAGCCTACGGGAAACGTCTGAGAGCTGAATTGCGCGGCACAGCTGTGCTGATTGTCGGTCACTTTTTAACGAAAGCGTGCTCATCAGCATTTTTTTTTTCTTTTCCTCCTGCGGCTGTACTTCCCGTGTGGCCCTGCATTTTCGGTGGAAGATCCGAGGTCACACAGAACACCTGCTCGGCGGCGCATGCTGTCAAATAACTTCGTCCCTCTCGGAGTTCTAGTCGCCTTATTCGCTTCTCGGTAATCTAGCGCAAAATGGCAAGTGCAGTACGTGGCAGTCTCACAACGCAGCAAATGGTTGTGTTCATACACTTGAACACACAGCGGAAAGCTTAGCCAATCTAACGCGCGCGGAGTGCGGAGGAATAACACGAACAACAGTCCCGCACAACGCTCCTCCATCCGCCGTCCGATCTCATAGCTCACAGAGCAGCTTTTTACACGCGCCGCCCTTGTTTGTGTCCGTGAGGTGGATAATGCCTTCTTTACGAACGCTACTGCGGTAGTTTGTTTTTGTTGTTTGTTTTTCTCCCGTCATTGGACTCTGTCGTCTGCCCCTCTGGCCCCTATCCTCCACTTCTACTAGCTAGACGACCAGGAGGGCACGGGGATTGCAATTCCATACATCTCATTTTTTGTGCGCGGAGGCAGACACCGTCAGAAGGTGGACGGG